CTATGAGTCTGACAGGCTTCCCTTTGTGAGTAACCCAACCTTTGTCTCTGGCTGCCCTTAGCATTTTTTCCTTCATTTCAACCCTGGTGAATCTGATGATTATGTGTCTTGAGGTTGCTCTTCTTGAGGAATATCTTTGTGGTGTTCTCTGTATTTTCTGGACTTGAATGGTGGCCTGGCTTGCAAGGTTGGGGAAGTTCTCCTGGATAATATCCTGAAGAGTGTTTTCCAGCTTTGATTCATTCTCTCCGTCACTTTCAGGTATACCTATCAAACATAGATTAGGTCTTTTCACATAATCCCATATTTGTTGGAGGCTTTGTTCATTTCTTTTCACTCTTTTTTCTCTCTTCTTGCCTTCTTGTTTTATTTCATTGAGTTGATCTTCAATCTCTGATATCCTTTCTTCTGCTTGGTCGATTTGGCTATTGAAACTTGTGTATGCTTCGTGAAGTTCTCGTGCTATGTTTTTCAGCTCCATCAAGTCGTTTATATTCTTCTCTAAGCTGTTTATTCTAATTAGCATCTCATCTAATCTTTTTTCTAGGTTCTTAGTTTCTTTACATTGGGTTAGCACATGTTCTTTTAGCTCAGAGAAGTTTGTTATTACCCACCTTCTGAAGACTGTTTCTGTCAATTCATCAGATTCATTCTCCGTCCATCTTTGATCCCTAGCTGGTGAGGAGTTGTGATCCTTTGGAGGAGGAGAGGTGTTCTGGTTTTGGGTGTTTTCATCCATTTTGTGCTTGTTTCTTCCCATCTTTGTTGCTTTATCTACCTGTGGTCTTTGTAGTTGGTGACTTTCGGATGGGGTCTCTGAGTGGATGTCCTTTTTGATGATGAAGTTATTTCTTTCTGTTTCTTAGTTTTCCTTCTAACAGTCAGTCTCCTCTGCTGCAGGACTGCTGGAGGTCCACTCCAGACCCTGCTTGCCTGGGGATCACCCGTGGGGGCTGCAGAACAGTAAGGGTTGCTGCCAGTTTCTTCTGTTATCTTTGTCCCAGAAGGGTACCTGCCAGATATTGGCCTGAGCTCTCTTTCATGAGGTGTCTCTGGGTATACAGGGGTCAGGGACCTGCTTGAGAAAGTCTGTCCCTTATAGGAGCTCAAGTGCTATGCTTGGAGCTCTGTTCTGTGCAGAGCTGCTGGGCAGGTACTTTTATGTCTGCTGCTGCAGTACTCATAACTGCCTCTTTTCCCAGGTGCTCTGTCCTAGGAAGGTGGGCTTTATTTATAAGATCCTGTCATGCTGCTGCCTTTTTCCATAGATGCCCTGCCCTGCATGGAGTAGTCTAGTCACAGTCTGCCAGCAGAGGCATTGCTGAGCTGCCGCAGGCTCTGCCCAGCTGCTGTGTGAACTGCTTCGGCAGTGGTGGTCGCCCTTCCCTGCACTGAGTTGGACCATCCTGGGTCCGTCCAGCTGTGCTTGCTGCAAAACTCTCAATCCAGAGTGTTTCAGATTGCTTGTTTTGTGTGGGTGGTACCCACCGAGCCAGATCATCTGGCTCCCTGTCTCTGCCCCCTCCCTTTCAGTTGAATGGGCAGCTCTGTCTCCCAGGCATTCCAGGTGCCAGTTGAAATGGCCACCCAGATTTGTGTGAGTTTCTGTGGGCCAACCTGGCACCAGCTGAAACCGCTGTGCTGAAAACTCATGGAGCTTTTCTGCTTGGGACTCTCCTGGTCTGTGGGCAGTGAAAATTTGTTTGGAAATGTGGTGGACACCCACCCTCTGCATTGTTCTTGCTGGGAGCTGCACTCTGGAGCTGTTTCTATTCGGCCATCTTGGATCCTCCCTCCTCCTGTTCTTTGAGTACCTGGTAGAATTTACCTGTAAAACCACTTGAGTTTAGCAGTGTTTTTTTTGTTTGTTTGTTTTAAATTTTGTATTCTATTTTGTTGTGAGATTTTAATTTAGGTTTTACTCCTTGTTTTTTGTTTTTCCCATAAGTCTCTTGTACTCTTAGATCTTACTTTTCTTAAATTTAGAGAAAAGACTTATTAAAGATTTTGTTTTTATTGCTTCTTGAAATAGTTTTGCAAAATTACATTTTATCTAGGAAGTCATCAGTGCCCTCCACTAAGTGTTTGTCTCCCTGTTCCCTATCTGCCTGGGGGTGCTGGCACTGGGACTGTGCAAGCCATGCTCAACTTTGTGGCAGATAATCCCTGCCCTGGGCCCTCAGACATCTCTGTTCACCTTTTCAGCCCTTCAACATCTGCTAAACCAAGTCCTCATGTTAATTTCTCTCTGTTGAAATGCTCAGCATGGCTTTTGTTTACCCAGCAGAACTCTGACTGTTCCTGACACATCACATACATTGTCTGGTTTCTAATTTATTAAAATAAATGTTGATAATGATCCCTTATTCATTAAAATTTCTTCTATATCTGTTGTGTCTTCTTTTCATTTCTAATGCATGTTTACTTTTACTTAATTTTTGCCTATCTCTAATAGTCTTTTAAAGTAATAATTAACTTGCCATATTGGATACTCTTACATTTTCAATGTTTTTCTAATTTACAACTTAGAGCAATTTAAATTTCTCATAAATTACCTACTTTAGCTGCATGTCTGAATGTAATGTTTTCATTATTTTTCAAGTCTAATCTTCCAATTTTCTTTTTCTTGTCTTTGTTTTTATTTGAGACAATCTCGCTCTGTCACCTAGGCTGGAGTGCAGTGTATGTATGCATATTGTGGTCCCATTTTTAGTAAACGAAAGAAAAACTTCTATATTCATGAATACGTTTCAATATGTTTGAGTTTGAAAAAAGGCTGTTAGCATCAGCCCCTCCAGGTGAGTGACTGGAGCGTGTAGGAAGGGTAGTGTTTAACAAATATCTTTGTATTTCACTTTCTATAAGAACCATGTTTTTATTTGGGCAATTTAAGCTAAGCCTATTAAGAAAATGATGATTAGCACTTATCTCGGGAGGCCTGAGAAAGATATGTCATATGAAAAAAGCAAGTCTCGGGCTGGGTATGGTCGTTGACGCCTGTAATCCCAGCACTTTGGGAAGCCAAGGTGGGTGAATCACTTGAGGTCAGGAGTTTGAGATCAGCCTGGCCAACATGGTGAAACCACATCTCTACTAAAAACATAAAAATTAGCCTTGGGTGACAGAATGAGACCCTGAAGATAGTAAAGAAAAAAGAAAAGAGAAAAGAAAGAAAAAAGAAGAAAATAAAAGAGGAAATAAAGAAAGAAAGAAAGAAGGGGGGAGGGGGGAGAGGGAGAGGGAGAGAGAGAAAGAAAAGAGAGAAAGGAAGGAGTCACAACTGTTATAATCCATTTTTTTTTTTTTTTTAAACAGGGCCTTGCTCTGTCTCCCAGACTGGAGTGCAATGGTGCAATCTCAGCTCACTGCAAACTCCACCTCCTGGATTCAAAGATTCTCCTGCCTCAGCCTTCTGAGTATCTGGGATTTACAGGTGTGTGCCACCCCGCGCCCATAATCTGTGTATTTTTAGTGGAGACAGGGTTTCACTATATTGGCCAGGCTGGCTGGAACTCCTGATCTCAAATGATCCGCCCACCTCAGCCTCCCAAACTGCTGGGATTACAGGCATGAGCCACTGCACCTGGCCATAATCCAATCTTATTTTAATGTCATGGACATTAAAATATGAATTGATATTTTAATGAATATGTTGATATGAATTAAGGAAACATCTGGGGCCACATATACTAAATCAGTATTCTTATATTCAAGTTGGAGGATTATGGAGGCCTTTTCATTGCTACATGTCTGTATTCTTTGCATTCATTTTATGCATATATATTGTGTGAACAAGAAAGATAATTTTTTCTTACAAAAAATCTATGGACTCTCACCAAAAACAACATCCAAGACACATCTGCAATAAAATCCTGCATACAATTCCAGCCACTTCATAGACTCTCTGAAGCCATTAATCACCTAGGTTTTTGCTCCAGTAGATACAAGGAGAGTTTAATGGCAAAAACAAGTCATTGACCTGCCAATTCCACCCACATACCCTAAGAGGAGCTGGTTACAGGGGGCACCGTAGACTGTTCCTGCTCTGTGGGTGCCCACCTGTGTAAAATGTGAGGGATGGGCTGATGGCCTTGATGCCAAATCATTTAAGCCACTAAAAATTTCAAAAGGGGAATGCAATTTGTAAATGCATATTCAATGTTATAATGTAATATTTGATACTGAATGAGAACTGTTTTCATTACAAATTTGGGGTAAGGATGCCAAATAGAACTGAGCCCTGGAGAGGTGGGAGAAGTAGCTGGGAAGGCAGGCAGATTAGCCTCCACGGAACCATGCTTAGGAATCTGAACTTCATGCTGAAGGCAAATGGGGAGATTACTTAAAGGCCTCAAAACTGAGTCTTTTTAGGATACTTTGGCTGCATGGTAGAGAAGGAATTGAAGGGAGCAAGATGGGAAGTTGGCATACTAGTTAGGAGACTGCTGGAGTGACTCGAGATAATGGCTCTTGAGTAGTGTACAATAGTTGGAGTAGGAATAAGTCAGTGGTTTGAAGAAAGAGACATTCTAGAGGTAGAATAGCATTTGGACTTATTGATTTGGGGAGAGGGGAGCCAAAGAGGCTCTAGTTAGATTCCCAGGTTTCTGGCTTGGGCGAATGGAAGACAGTGGTACCACATGGAGATACAGAACGCTGGAAGCAGCACTGGGATATTTGAAGATGAAAATAGTAGACCCTAAATATGTATTATTTTTCTTTCTTTGATTCTGGGAGATTGACAGAAGGCCCAGGAATGGATTCCAGGGCGAGACACCCACTTCCAAGTCTCCTACCATGTTTTTCTGAGGAGAGTGACAGCTCCTGCTGCACTCTTCTATTGGTCTGTCCATCCTTCCCTCTGCTCTGGACCTCTTAGCCTTTCTCCTCTCTCTTCTTCATCAACACAGTTGGAACAGATGATACATTTAGGAGAAAGTCACAGTGAAAAAAGTTACATCAGCTTGCGGGTAGAATTTAATGACCAAACAAGACACATATTAATAATTGATATATATCTTTTTATTATGCACAGATAAAAGACTTAAAACTGTGGTTATCAAAACTATACATCTAAGCATGTTCACAAAATAGCTGACACAATGAACAGAGAAAAGAATACAATAGGGGTGTTCAAACTGGCCACAGGGATTTTAAGGGTACTCTTTTTACCCTCATAGATGATGAAAACCAGCAACAAAATCAGGCTCATTCAGGAAAAACTGGAAGAGAGAAGTATTGTATTTGGAAACTGATAATAGTAGTTTTAGAAAAACATCTGTCAGTTTCATGAACAACCCCCAGATAAAACAAACATGAAAAAATCACATAGGACTCACCCAACAAAATGTGCTCTGTTAACACAACCAGCAGTACAATCATCATTCAAACCATGAGGTAGTTACAGTACAAAAAGACGCACGGGTGTGCGCACCCAAACACACTCACAACGATACCCACTAAGAACACACGCAGAAAATTGATTTATAATCTTATTACAAGACAAGGTAAATACCATTTTTTGTTTGTTTGTTTAGAAAATGCTATAGAAACAATTTAGACAGAAGAAATCTCTGGCTTTTTAAAATATAGAGTAATAGCTGGTAAACACCACATGGTGAAGAGCCATAGCATAGTATACAGACAATTGGCCTTGGAGCTTAGGGCATTTCAGCAATAGCTTCAGCATCAAACGAAACAAAATAGCCTCTGCAAATTAAGGGTGTAGCCTGCAGAAATAACAAAAGACTGCAGATAGAAGAGTTCAGCTGAAATAAACAATACTTTTAAAGAAACTGTGAAACATGTTATAAAATAAAGCTTGTACTTTCTATTAAACCTGTAAAATGTGAATTAATTAGGAATACCGTAATGAGAAGCTAGGGAGAAAATACCTTATTTTTAAATGTTCATTTTTAAGAAACATTTCAGAAATACTTGATGACATTCAGTCTCCAATATGAGATTAGATTTTATCGACACGGATTTCTTGATGTGAATAATACTTCTGACAATGAGACCCAAACAAATAAAAGGTGATTTTTTTCCTCTCTCTTTAAAAAAAATCTTTTGGTTTGCATCTATAAATTTGTAAATTAATTTTAAATTATTTATAAAATCATTGGCAATGCAGCGTCTCTCTTGAAAATATATATTTAAATATATTACAGAAGGTTTTAACCTTGTCCTTCTAAGACATCAATCTTTTAATATCTCCTAATAGCTAATTTCCTTTTTAACAAGATGGAAAGGGTTTTTTAAAAAAGCAAAGGACTGATCAAAAGAATTCACAGTAGCTGAAATTAAACATTTCATAGGGAGTAACTTAAATTTATCTGAAACACTTAAATATATCTTTATACACAAATTTTGTAGTAAAATATAGCTATATGTGACTTAAAGACTCTAGTCTTCTTTGAAGACATCTTTAAAGTTTTTTATACATAGAATATGCTAAAACAATACATTCTGCTGCAGGTTAGGTAAAGCACATTATTTTCAAACACAGGTAGCATAATCTAGGTCCTCTACTCAGATACCCTTATGTTCAAAAAAAAAAAAAGGAAAAAAAATTCTCTAACTCATGTCTTTGTTTGTGTGTGGAAATCTGGAAATTTTTCAGTATATCAATATAGATAGCCTGGAAATCTCAGCCCTAATCTGTTTTGGTTAAAATTTTCCTTATTGAATGCCTACATCTATCAAGTTAGTCAGATTATTACTCAACGATTTGGTAAAAATGATGGTCAGTTTCCACCTATTTGTTTGCAACGTAGACACTGCCCCAAGGTTTTGAACTTCATCAGCATTTCCTACTGAGGTTCCATTCTCGGACAACCAGGCATAACTTCCTTATTTTAAGGGCAGTGGGATTTGCTTATGAATTATTTTGGGGGTAGAATCTAACTTGTTCTACTTATGGAATTCTAAGTTGTTTGGGGGGATTCTGGAAAAAAAAATAATTTGCAACGAAGCTATCTTCAGCAGTAAAATAATTTAGCATGAAAATTCCTTTCTGGCATTTTCCTTTTAAACATAAAGGTATCATTGAGCTTATTTTAGCTGCAAAGTGGCATCATATTATTCCATTTAATTAAATTCACCTCAAGCGTTTTTTGATTTTGGGATATATTTAAGGCAAGAGAAGTAAGGCAATCCAAATGAGTGCCCTTTTCCAATCTCAGCACTGTCCTGGGGGAGAACTGGTAACACTATTCAGATAACCAACTGGAGAGCAACAGCATCTGGCATGCTTGTGCATCTCGCTAGAGTTTGGTTTTTATAAAAAGGCCGATTTTCTTTTCAGTTGACATGTTTTGAGTGGAACATCACCCTACCAAATGTACTTAAGAGTAAGTTGCAACTCTAAAAGCGTAAGGACATTTTCAAAAGGGGAATGAATTTTCTCTTCTTCAGCTGAGAAAATGAATGTGCCAGATGACGTATTATATACTTGTACTTGCATACACATACAAATATATAATTGTGCAAATTCCTCCTTGACTTTATAACTGAATTTCACCTTAATTTATATGTTATTTTTTCAGAACAAAATATTAAGAATGGGCACATATCTGTGGTTCCTGATTTTGGTCATTTTCAATTTCTGTAGGCCTGTAAGAAATACAAAGTTTGCATTAAGACATTTTGCAGTGGCATATGCAAGTATGAGAAGATACAGGAAGCTAATAAGGTCATCAGCATTGGTTTTGGCCCAGGGCACAAGAAAGGAATGTTGCCTTGACACTTGTCAGGGTATAGTCCCTGAGGGCAGCACCCATCAAGGGACACATCAGACCCCACAGGGTATGGCAGCAAAGTCAGAAGTGTGCATCCAGATGAAGGTGCAAATTAGGAGGAACGCTTTGAAAGCCTCAAAGCGTTTCTTATGTTTTACATCTTGGTTCAGATATAAAGAATATTTGGCCGCATCTCCTCACTAGTTCTACTATTTGGCTATTATCCCTTTACCAAATCCTTGAGTCTGGGTCAAACTCAGGGCCCCAAATTACGGATGTTCTCACCTGGACAAAGCAGCATGTTAAAAACTGGCATGTGTTTCACATTGAAAACCCCCAAGCCTGTGAGGGGCTGGTGGAGAAGACCACCATTTAGCTTTCTCACATGAATTCTAGTGTGGTACAGAAGTCCAGGGTCATGTTTACATTAGCCCTGGGTGTGGGGTGAATACAATGGGTGATCTTTATACCGAAATTCACTCTGTCTTTAGAAGGAAAACAAAATCCAGCCATCCAAGTGTGGACATGAGGCTCAGCCACTGGTCCCGCCCTTGGCAGTAGCTGGGTTGGGCTGGGCTGGGCTGGGCTAGGCCGTGCTGCTGCTGGAGCAAGGCGTGCTCTGCGTGCTGCCGATGCTGTGAGCAGCACTGCTGTTTTCCGAGGCTGGCGGGGAGGTGGGGACTTGCTGCCTTCTTGCCGTCTCCCCTGCATTTAATAAAGAAAAGGCAGGGTTAGAGAAAGACACAAGTTACGTATGTGCATTCCTGAAAAGATTAATTTATTCCGCATTTGCCATTTTAACTGATGTTTTTCTCAACCAGGGGCAGAAGCAACTAGACTAGATCCTAGATGGCTGGAATACCTTCTAAAATAAGGTTTTTCTATTTGTTCTTTTATTTTTAAAGCATCGTGCATGGGAAAAAAGAAGACAGCTGAGTGACGGGCAGCTATAGTGGCTAAGACCTCTGACAGTTGTTGACAAAGTCCCTGGATTTCAGGGTCTACAACCTTTGAAGAAATCACCACCACTTACTTGGACTGTGTGAGCTGGGAACTGACCAGCACCTGTATTCAGGAAGCACTGTCCATCTTCTGTCATAAAGATATTACAGGATTTGGAGGGTGTGACCTTTAAATTGCAGTAACAGAACTTTGGAAGTTTGGAAGCCTTGTTCTGAATGCACTTGTTAAAAACAGGAGTGAAGGCCCGGCGTGGTGGCTCACGCCTATAATCCCAGCACTTTGGGAGGCCAAGGCAGATGGATCACAAGGTCAGGAGATCAAGACCACCCTGGCTAACACAGTGAAACTCCGTCTCTACTAAAAATACAAAAAACTTAGCCGGGCATGGTGGTGTGTGCCTGTAGTCCCTGCTACTAAGGAGGCTGAGGCAAGAGAATTGCTTGAGCCCGGCAGGCAGAGGTTGTAGTGAGCAGAGATCGTGCCTCTGCACTCCAGCCTGGTTGACAAAGTGGAACTCTGTCTCAAAAAAACAAAACAAAACAAAAACAAACAAAAAAACAGGAGTGAAATCTATACTTTGTTCTAGCTACAGCAGAGAGAGCCTTGTGTGCCAAACATATAAATTACTTGAGAAAAGGGGGTGGGGGATAGCTGCTATTGGAAAAACCTTTGGGGAAGGGGGTTAGCTGTTTGCACATGGGGACTGCAGTTGCCAGCGAATGGCCTCCCTTCCCTGCTGAGGTTCCCCGTGGAGTGCAGCGTGAGTATCTCCTAACACTTTAAGCATCCTACTTTTCATTACACACCCCACTGCATTTTAGCTAAAGCCATTCATCATGCCAAATGTGCAGTGCTTTGGAGAGGAAGGAAAGCTCAAGTCACACACATGGTTTGCATTTAACAGTGCAAAAGGCCCTAGAGTTAGTCTTCTCTTTGGCAAAACCGGCCTCAGTGCAACCCTCAAAAAATGGCTCTAGGTAGGGAAAAGTGATCAGGGCTCTCCAATAAAAAAACACTGCATTTAATTTGAAAAGTCAGAGCATAAACTTCATAAACTTCTTGTAAGCGGCATGCCCCCCTTCCACGTGGGAAACCCCAGAGGGCCAGGTCTGTTTATGAATGAGCCTCCCCTTTCCTGTCATGCTGAAATACACATCTATCAGCTGGAGATAAGCAGCCCTCCCGGCTGCTTCATTAAAACAAAACACTGGAGCAGAGGCCCTGCCCTCCAGTGCAGGAACTTGGCCCTATTACTTCCATTCCCTTTTTGGGGCCCCTCAAAAGCCTCTGTGAAAAAAGCAGTTCTGCAAAATGTAGAACTGGCTCGTGTCCCTGGGTCTGGTTACAGCTTTTCCTGTCACCCATTTCACGAACCACACAGCTATACACACTTTTGCATCAACTTCAAAGTATTCATATGCTTGGTGGAAGTTTGGCCCTTGTTATACTTCCTCTAATTATCTTTTCTTCTGGGATTGGTGGGATGGATGGGGACTAGGGTCAATATTCCCAAGAAGCAGAGAAACACTGTTTTTGACTCTTCTTTTTTGAAAACCTGTATTTTGGACCCTCCCCAGCACTAACTTCTACTCTTAATTGTGCGTATATAAGAAGGGGTGGGGAAATTTGCCTCCATGGCAATAACTTTCTGCCAAAAATTCACTTTCCCTAGAGTAGGAGCTTTATTTCTAGAAGAGAATAAAATATCTTAACAATTCTGAGGTCAAAACAAAAACAAAAAACCTCCAGAGACCCAAACAACTCTAGATGTACTTTAAGAATTCGGCTCCCTTATAAACCACAGGCTGGTCCACACCTGGCTGGATCCTCACATTATCAATGAGAAGGACTAACGTGGCTATGCATGCACCACATTTTAAATACACATTTTCCTATCTGAACAAGAATACATCTGAAAAGCAGGAGGCAAGTCCATTTTTTCCTTTTTTGGCTCACCTGGGCTTTGTTTGCTCAGCCCACAGCAGCTAAAAAAGTAAAATGGCCTTGCTTCATCTAGCAACAGGGAGCAAGTTTGCTCCTTCAGGATTTGCCCTGTGCTTGACTATTCACATTCAGGAAAAGCGCCAGCACTATGCCCTGCCCAGGAAGCCTGGATATCTGCTTTCCGATGTCTATTTGCCAAATATAATTTGTTGCCATGTCAGTTTATTTTCATCAGTGTCCATTAAGGAGATCCTTCAACTTCCCGAGTTTTGGAAACTCTTGTCCTGGTAATGCAAAACACTTCAAAATAAAACACCAAACAAAACAAAGAAGCCTTTGCACTCAAGACTGCAGGATGCATCTCACCAGGTGGACAAGTTAACCTAATATTATACTGACTTTCATCCAATAATGGGCCAAGGTGACTCCCTGTCTGAGAACCTACTGGGGAATATTGAAAGTCCCCTCTTCAGAGCATCCTTTCCACTTCTGTGGCTATTTTCACATGTCAGACGCAATATTTTCACTATAACCACATTTAAAAAAAACTCCTACTTTTTGACAGAATTAAGAAAAAGTTTTTTCACTGTCAGATGGAAGTGAAGCTACAGAAAAATTCACTACAAGGAAGAAAGTTGAGTGTGCAGATGCTTCTACTTAATAGGCCAGCAGAGACCCCTGGGTTACCTGAGATGGGTCCTTCGGCTGTCTGCTCTCCATTGCAGTGATATCTGATTTTGTGGAGCATCAACTTTCTCTAAAACATCCCTTGGGTGACAAATATAACCAGGCTGCTCCTAAAGGAGATGGGCAGGGAAGACCTCGAGGCTAAGCAGAGTAGGCCCAATTAACACATAAAAGAAATTCAAGGAGGGCGCTTTGCTCGTAAATAAATAACAAACTTCGCCAGCAGAGGAAATGTATTCAGTCTATATGCTTTCCTCCTAAAATCTCAAACCACATTGAGGGAACAGAGATTTCAGAGGAGGGAGAATGAGTACGGGAGAGAGGAATCTGGTGCCTGACATACTCTGGAGGAGGAGGGTACACTGAGGATAAGGACACTAAGGATTAATCCACCCATCTCACAATTAGCCTATGGCTGGGCCTAGATACTGCCAGGGATGCCTTAAGAAATAGAATAACAAAGCCAGGTGCTGTCATTTATAGTGCCAGCTACTCACGAGGCTGAAGGGGGAGGATCTCCTGAGGCCAGGAGTTAGAGGCTTCAGTGAACTATGATCTTGCCTGTGAAGAGCCTCTGCACTCCAACCTGGGCAACATAGAGAGATCCTGTCTCTACGGTGGGTGGATGGGGGGGGGGGGGGGGGGGGGAGGAGACGACAAAAAGAAGCAAAACAAAAAAACAAAACCAAAAACCCACCCCATTTCTTAATGAAGAATATTTTCTTTTGCTTGGCATGGAGTTGTCCAGATCTGACTTCTTGCTACCTCTTTGGTGTCTATATTATAACTGGATTCTTATCTCTAAGTCTTTCACCATGGCAGGTCCTGGGGAAGAGACTATTCAAGAAAGACATGACTAACATGGGAGGACTCTGCGGAAACAACAGAAGAGTTAAAAAGAAAGGTGAGGGGAATCTCGGGATTTAGGCCAAAGGACGCTATTTGCAAACACTGTCATGAGGATTATTATGAAGAGAAGCAGACAGCTGTTCTTTATCTCCCTAGAGGGCAGAACATGAGGAAATGAGTTTAAATGGCAGGAATAGGGGATTTAGGTCAGATAGAAAAGAACTTGCTGATTATGAGGACTAGTTAGTTATAGAGGGAATTTATGGAATCTCCTTCTCAGAAGATACTTAAGCATAGGATTGAAAACCATATACCTGGGGATACTTTAGACTTAATATTCCTTGATGCCAGAAAGAAAACAAAGATATTTTCTTCTAGGTCTATGTGTTGTATGCAGTTTTGTACCAATTAATGGCTAGTTTCTTGATATCCTAATTATAATTAATTCACAAGCTCACTCTTTAAGCAGAGTGAATGGTAGTACCTTTAATTTGATAAGTCTTAGATCACTTTTTATCATTTTCAAAATTCATTCCTCCCCAGCCTCCAAGCAAAAGACTCTTCTTTTACAGCCAAATTCTCAGGAGGGGTGAATTAGATGCTGTTAGAAGTCACGGGGAAAATTTTATGCCTAGAACGGAAGTTTTTCACAATGTCCTGCCTACTACTTTCTTTCTGTGTTTCTCTACTATGGCCAACCTGTTTGTATCTGTACTTTGGTTTTCTGTGTTTATCTTTCTTGCCTTTGTAGCCCCTGAATAGGATGCAAAGTCTGATAATAACTAAGAAGAAGAAGAAAAGCAAGAGGGAAAGAGAAATCGGGAGGAGGAGGAAGGCTGTCCTCCCCAGCTGTCGCTACAACCCCTAGTCAGAAATTGGACTTGCAGCTCTAGTTTGTTCACTGGCTAGACTGGCTACCTGAGCAGGTGTATTCATTGTGTTTCCCTTTAGTATACACAGAGATAATCCCAACTTCTCAGGTTGTTAGCGTGAGGGTGCCTAAAACAAGCAATGTGTAAAAAGCTTTTCGAACTTCAAGGCTACTCCGATGTGTAAGTAGAAAAACAACTAGGAGTATAAGAAACTGTTTCACAGAGCATAATAAAATGTTGAGGTTTTGAATTAGGTGTGCCTGTCGTAACCTGTCAGGCAGTTTCAACAACGCTCCGTGGAACACACCATGTGTTCTTAAAGCAAAAGTCAAGCGCACACCCAAAAGTCCACCCGAGTCGGATAAGAGGTTTTCATTAGGAGCATCTCTA